TTATATCTGGGGCTGAACTTATCGTCCGCTGGACACAGGATCTCATGAATCGTAACTCTCCTTGAGTTTTATCGGTATACCGTCGGAACATATCGTTGTCGATTGTTTTCGCGGCGTCTTGGTGAGCCCCAGACGTTCCTGTCTGAGTTGTAGCCCCTACTTCCTCGGTCGGGATGTTTTGAACATTCTCCAAGCGAGGTAGAGGTGGAAGGGGCTGTTTGTTAATCCTGGTGGAGTCGTTGCGCGAGCTCGGTCCGAGGATGTCCACGGTTATGGTCGACGAGCTTGTGCGCGGGTTAAACGCAGGATATGTGTTAGCATTGGTAGGGGTGGCGAAGACCCTAAAAAATCTAAGCGCGACCGAGGGGTTATGAATCTGAGAGGGGTAACCTCCTCTCCGCCAACCTTTCGGGGCTGAGCTCCTTGGGTGACCGATTGGGAGATCTCCCGCATTTGAGCTTGGAATGATCTCTTCTGCTGCTCAAGTCGGGCTTGGACTGTCCTGACCGAGGCGTCCGGTGTCTGTCAGTAGTCGACGGATCTCGGTCATCTCTTCTCTCGTCTGCTCTTTCTTTCCGGTAGGAGGTTGCGGAGCGAGCGTGTCCTGAAGACCTCCGGACACTTAGTCCATGGAGATGTCCAGACTTCTTATCCAGACACCTTGCGAGGGCGCTGGGTTGGTCGCAGCAAGGCCTAGGGCTGTGACCTTTGCCAGCGGGCGTAAGTCGGTCTGGCTCGCTATTGTTAGTCGGTTGTCGGTCGGGGTCGTAACGCTGGATCCGGTTCTGATCTGGTCTCGCGGTTGGGATCTAGATGGTTCTTAACTCTGGGAGTCGTGGCCGGCGCGTCGCTGGCTTTCGGCGTGGTAGATTTTGATTTATCCATCTCTCCTCTAATAGATCTTAGGTCGAACTTCTATGATAGACTATGTATTTCTTCCCCTTAGACGGCGCCAAATGTGGAAGCTGGATTCCACACAAAGTATTTGTATGTGAATTCGAAGAAGAAACTTTAGTCCTAAAAAATATCTATAAGCTCAACGATTAAAAGAAGAGTAGAGTGTAGATGGATTTATATTGGTATGAATCGAATATACAATAAGGTTTCGTCTGAGACATGTTGCAAGCTGAAATATAGTGTTAAGCTCTTACGTGTGTAAAAAGTTGGCGAAATCTGTTTAGATTTCCTCTATATATAGCTCAGCTCAGCTCCTCTATCCAGCTCCACGTTCCTAGGGCGTTTCCGCGATCTCGACATATTCACAGCGAATATCGCTCCTACGACTGAGATAACCGCTCCGTTGACTCGCTTCTACTTCAATCTCAGTTCGTTATTTCTCGCGCCTGTTGACTCGACCCTTTCGGGTTGACCTGAGCCTGAAGAGAAATAATGTCTAATTCTTCGGGTTTGGGCCGCAGGCCCATCGATTCTGGTCAACGTTCTGCGAATAATAAGTTTTAACCTAGGCTTTTAAGTGGGCCGGATTCGGTGACAAATCCAGCCCCAACAGTTATCAACCTACTTAACTCTATATTAAAAACAGAAAAACATAATTGTAAATTCTTGACCTAAAAAAATATGGAAAATTCTTGGTATTCACGCCCTCTTAATATACCAATCAAAATTTGCCATGTAATCTAATTAAACAATTAATATTTATCTAAATAAAAAAATTAGATTAAATTATTAAAAAATAATTAAATTAAAATATGTATTTTACATAAATTACGAATGGTTGTATAGATGTCTACATACTCTCCGATTAGGGTTTATCCTCCCATATTAAGGTTTATTACCTCCTTAAATCTAGAAAAATTTTGAGAAATGCAATTTTTGAAATGTCACTTTTCAAAAATACTACTTTTTCAAAATTTTTGCAAAAATACCATTTTTAAAAAATTATTTACTCATTATATTTATGGTAAAAATTATAAATTTAGTTGTAGAATATTTTATTATTGATTCAAAATTACTATGTCACAATTTTGACAAGCCATGTCACAATTATTTTGGTGAGAATGATTGTGGAGATGATACATAAGTATCTTCTCACAAATCACTCTCCAATTAATATATAAGGGATTGAAATAAAATTATGAGAATTATTCTATTACAAGTATTATAATTTGTAATAAATAATAATAAAAAACAGAGTTAAAAACCAAAATTATGACATGCACTTTTCAAAAATACATTTTTCAAAATCTTTATAAAAATATCATTTTTTTCAAAATTATTTATTCATTATATCATTTATGTTTGGTTTAACTATTTTGTATTAGGGTTTAGTTTTGAGGGTTTAATGAGTTTTCGATGTCAAAATATTTTTTAGGGTTTAGAATTTTAAGATTTAGACTCTAAAAATTCACAGTTAGTGGCATTTTTGTAAATGGACAATCCATAATGACATTTTTGCAAATATACACAATAAAAATGACATTTTTGTAATTATCCCAAATTTCTATTTCATGATTTCTTAAG